TGGTCAAGCCTTTTTTTATGTGCCTTGTAGACAGGAGTGAGGGGCCATCGCTGAGGTAAACATCGTTTCACTGATCACTGCGATACAATTTGCTTATATCTGAAAATATTTCTTAATTTCTTAATAACCGTAAGCCGTCAAAATTCGTGGAAAAAATCCAGCGTCAACCGACAAAGCCACCACTTCATTGAGACCCTCCTGTATCATGAGAGGTTGTAAAGTTCGTAGTGGGGTGCCTCTCAGATCGGTAATTTGGCTTTTTTTTATTGTTTTTAGAGACCTCTAAAGCTTTACTAAATGGAAAAGTAGCCGTCTATATTTGATTCATGTTTTCCGTTTTTTTTTTGTCCTGTTTGCCATAGCAGTAGTACTTGCTTAACAGCTACCTAAACACAAACATGGAAAGCAATTTTTAAATCTTTTTCGAGAGCAAAAATAGATATGAAGATCTTGTATCTTATAATCTAGAAAAAAATGCAAACATGCAGCAAAAGAGGTTGGTCTTTTTTGTTCCAAAGCCTTACCTTTTTTCTTTTTTTCTTTTTGCTTCCCACAGTCACTTTTTGCTTAATATAGCTAGAAACAACAACAAGTAATGTCTGCAATTGTAACAACCGTCTTAAAGGGTACCCTCGGATTTCTCATAAAGAAAGGCCGAAAAGTAGCTGTGGAGAGGCTGAAGGACAGCGACGTTACAAACGAAAAATTGAAGAACTGGATCGTGGATGAAATCGATAGTATAAATTCGAAGCTTGATGCAATGGCGAAGAAAGATCTCGGAGCAAGTATTTCCTTTTTCAAGGAAGGACTAGTTTTCCTTAATAATGCAATGGAAACGATAACTTGTGGCCTAGGAAGTTTAAATGCAAGTCCTGTACAAGTGGGAAAAGTTAAAAATGTGAAAGAAGAAGACTTCGAAGAGAGCAATGAAAAAGCAAATCCTGAAGCATCAAAACAGGAGGCGTCCTGGCCCAAGTTGTTTTGGTCGATTGCTTCTCAAGTAACAGGCTTCTGGGACCACGGTACAGAGGATGATAAAGGGTCGGAAGCTGCTCCTCAAATGACAGGGGAACCGAAAAGGTCCTCTGGTGCTGAGGGAAACGAATTGTCTTTCACAGGGGAACTGAGGAACTTGAATCTGAACAGTCTGGATGAAATCAAAGTAGCAATCCTTGACGCAAAAAAGAGGTTTGACGATGCTCGACGAAAAGCGACAGAAGCCTTTAACAATGAAGTTCTCACACCCATGGATCGTATCCTAGCCATGGGTGTTCGTCTAATGGCAACAATATTGGAGAAAGTAGATAACCCAGTCAGTGCCTTAGACGCGTGTATATCTGGCCTCAACGAGCTACACTCGATGCCGTTTGTTACAGAGAATTTTAGCGTTGAACTTGAAAAAGGCATCAAGTCAAGATTCAGCAAGGATGAACGAAGGCAAATTGTTTCCTTCGCCTGTCAAGTAAATCGAACCATTTACGACTTCGCGTTACTGGTAAGCGCTAAAGAAGTGTTGTCCTTTTGGCCCTGCGTTGAAATCGCAAATGAGAGGGTCGATCCTCTTCGCGACTCAAGAATAGCAAACATGCTGCGTAAGCTGGAGATGGGGGACTTTTGTTTACCTTGGTCATTTGGTCAGAAGGACGAACTAGAACATCAAAGGCTTGCCTCAGCGACTAGTATAGCAACCAATACTCTTGGACAGTTCCTTGTTGTCGACCTTAGCGAGAACTGTGCGAAAATGTTCGACGCTTCCGGCAAATTTTTGAAAACTTTCTGTCCTTTTACGCATACTGAATCTACATTTAGCACAATTCAAGCTGTAGCTACTGACCAAGATGACAACATTTACGTGCTGGAGGGTAAAATATCTGATGGTAAAGCTAAGGTTTGCCTGCACGTGTTGAATAATTTAGCTCAGTTCCTAAATGATTTAAAAGTTGGCATCGATTTAGAAGCTAGGACGGTGAAAGTAACAGCCAGTCGCCTCGTTCTTGTACTGGTACGCACGTTTCGTCTTTCGCGTGAGGTGGACGGGTCTTCCACAATTGAAAACGATTATGTGGTTTTGAAAGATACCAAAGGAAAGCGTATCGGTTACCTTTCCTCGCGAATGTTTCGACCATTAAAAGATATCACAGCTGCTGATGACCTTATTATGATCTTGGATGACAGTTCCTATGTCACTGTATTCAGAGAGGCAAATGTTAGTGAGGAGGATTGTCCCGTTTCACCATTCCTCAAGGCGTTTCCAGTCCGTGGAGATGCGTGTGCTATTACGTTTCATCCAAGAAGCAAACACGTGATCATTGTCTCACAGATCGAAGAGCAACGCTGGCAATTGCTATTTTACAGTAAAGAAGGCAAATTTGAACGTAGCATTGACCTTGACGTGGAGCAAGACTACGAAATAACTGGGGCTGCAGTGACCACAGATGGACGCATTTGTATAGCAGCTTCAAATTTCAGGGAAAACAGGGGGAAGGTGCTTGTAGTGTAAATGTAGCTCTGTTAATACTAACAAATTGCAATATGTGATCGAATCTTTTCTTCATTTGTGAAGATGCACTACACAGTAATCCACCGATGGCCTTCCCAATACCCTGCTAGCAGAGGTTTTTCTCTTGCATCGCTTTTGGCATTTACGAGGTCGTTCGCGTGGCGTGCCTTGTCTGTCGCGTAGCTGGTTTGTTTACCCCGTTGCAAACCAGGCGACAGACAAACCACGCATACGACTTCGTAAAGGCTGTTGCAAGAGAGAACCTGTGCTCGCAGGCTACCTCCCCAAAACTGCAGCAAAATTGACAAAAATGTCGTAGTAAGGCCTTCGTCGAATTGAAAAGAATAAATAAATAAATAAATTGACCCCTTTGCTGTGTACTAGCAACTCACATCAAAGAGACACTGAGGATTTTACAAATTTGCGAAAATTGCAGTTTCGAATAGACCTTGTCACGGTTTTGGAAGCCATCTTGACGAGTAGGAAAAAATTACAGTGTTTCTATGAGAATCTAATGTCGAATACTTTGTCCTGAAAAAAAAAAAAAAAAAAAAAAAAAGTAAGGAAAAAACAAGCAAACAAAACACACACAACAAAACAACACAAGAAAGAAAAACAAAAACAAAAACAACAACAACAAAAAACATTTGCAAACTAAAGCTTCACTCCTGAGGATTCTATTAATAAAGTTTGAGGGCGTTACATGCAGCTATATGCGCTAGAACCACGTCTTAAAATTTTCTGTACATTGGTCTGTAAAACTTATTCTTCTTGCCGACTAAAATTTCCCGGGAAAAAAAAAAAGCAGACAAATCAAATGAAATATTTAAAGAAAGCGACTGAAGAATATTAGAAATTTAAGCATAGGTGAGGCGCCAAAAAATTGTAAGTAGAATCCTTTGCTTTGTACCTTTAGTTTACGATTCATTTATTATTATTATTATTATTATTATTATTATTGTTATTAGTCAGAACAGCCGTTTTACGGAAATTGTGCACTACATCGCTCGCACGTGAGACACAACGAAAGGTACCCGGTAATGTTACACTGTAATTATAAAGACGTTTACGGAAAACAGGAAACCTCAAACGTCAATTCTACCCACCCGAATTTCATTACTTCCACTTTTTTACGCTGGTTCACGCGCGCGCACTACTTAGTATTGAGAAAATCTCGTACTCGTAGTCGTCCTCGTCTTAGAATCTAAGGGGGTGTTTACATATGACACCGGGGCGACGTTCGCGCCGGAGCGAGTTCACTCCGATTCCCTCTCATGGCTGTACATTTGTTGACATGATACCACCCCAAAATGTCACGCCGGCGCGAGTCACCCCTGCGTGAGTTCACCCCGGTTCTTGGACCGGGGCGAGAATCTCACACTCGTGGGAAATCTCGAAAGGGTATCATGTAAACGCGAAACGACCACGCGTTTCGGTGTGAAATCAGTCTGTCTGGAACGGGTAGCGCATGCGTAACGTTTGCGATTTTGAATCACAGGTGTATTTTATCAACATGAAGTGTACCTTCAAATAAGGAGATATGAAATGACCCAGTCATCAAGTAAACGCGTTACAAACAGAAAAAGTCTTCCCTGTACGAAACTCGCGCGGGTGGGAGTTTTCTCATGTAAACACCCCCTAAAGCTCTCTACTTATTCAAAGACAACGACGAAACGGGGGGATCATATTAAGCCAAAAAGAAAAGTTATAAGTTAAGCTAGCAGTGTTACTGAATAGAAAAGGGTGCGGAAAACGTGTTAATTAATGAAGAATAGTCTAAGTTACAGGACTACCGTATTAAGTCGATTAAACGAAACGCGACGGCGCTTATCAATTAACGAGTCAGAGATGATTTGTTACGTATAGGCCCTGTTTACACGGAGGGAGGGTAACCCTGGTGCTACCCTAAAAAAGAGGGTTATCCTAGAACGCGTACATTTCCTCTTTTTTTCACCTGTCATGCTTACCGGAAAGGTAGCGTTACCCTAGCGCTGGGGTAACCCTAACTGAGTGCTAGGGTTACCCTACCTGCCTTGTAAACGCTCTGCTGGTATAACTCGCCTACCCGGGACAACTTTCCTCCGTCATGCATGACCAGTAATCTTCACTATTTTAACGGAGTTATCCAATTTCTGAGCTAGATATAACCATCTGAACAATATACGGTATTTTCTGTCTATCATATGATGATAGTATTTTAACGTTTTTTTTTTTTGTGAATTAACGCGTTTTCCATACAGAACTTTAAGTCTTTTCAAATCTTGAAGTTACAAAGACTGTTTATTTTACTCTCATGTTACCCTGGGTGCGTGCCAGAGGCTTTTCATGCGCGGTTTCCGATTTCGGTAAAAAAAAAAAAAAAAAAGTGACGCGCTTCGCCGCTAGTATCTTCGGCCGAAGGTGGAAGATGCGTCGGCCTGTGGCCGATGAAGCTCCTCTTCGCACGCGAGAAAAAAAAAAAAAAAACTCTACCCAGGGTAGTCTTATGTTGTCACGCGTGAGGAAACAAGTCAGTTAAACTGGTAAAAAAAAATTATAAATATATGAAAATCATATATGAGAACTGCGGAGTGAAGGATTATGTGAAATAATACTGATCATCGCAAGTTATAGACGCAACTTTTGCAGTTGCAATAAGAAAGCCTGGAAAAAAATGGCTTGTACGGGAATCGAACCCTTGAGCGCTCTGCGATACCGGTGCAGCGCTTTTACCTGAATTGAGCTAACAAGCCAACTGGGAGCAGGTTGTTGAGTTGGTTCGTTATAAGCCCGTTAAAGGATCATGATGAAGTTATGAATATATGAAAGTCATCTAATTTTTTCAGGCTTTCTTTTCGCAACTGCAAAAGTCGCGTCTATAACTGCGATGATCTTCTTTCATATAAAACTGGTTAAGTTGACCCGGGTGATAGGGTAACCCTACCTGTGAAATTTTGATTGTAAACCCGGGCTATCTTCAGCCCGCTTACTAGGGTAACCCTAGCAAAAGGCTAATCCCCTCTCCTTGCAAAAAAGGCTTAGTTGTGCCGCTGATGTATATAATTTGCATTTGTGTTGGCTTTTCTAGATTATATCGTGATGATTCAGCATGTTAGTTTTCCGAACATAATTATGGGGCATTTTTGGTGCCTAGATTATCCTTGTTATTTAGTAATCATGACAATAGAAAGCTAAAGTACTGAAAGGTTTCAGCAAGAGCAGTAGGTGGGAGTAGAAGAGCGTTAACCACCAGAACACTTCGTTTGCTCCCGTGCTTAGCGACCATTCAATAAAAATCTTGATAGAGTGCACCCCACGATGGCGGGGTTGTTAGATTGTTGAACGATTTTCGTATGACCTTGAAGTAAGTGTTCGTTAAGTGTTCGTTATCTGTTTTATCAGCCAGTGGATGGAAAGATCAAAACATGGACTCGTTTTCCCGCCAAAGAAAACCCTAACTGATGGAGACGGCATTGCTCGATATGCCAATCGTTTGGCCAAAACACGCAATCGCCGTAAACGCAAACCTCGTAAGACCCATAAAACCACTAATCTCGATACCACCTCTGTTATTAATTTGTCAGCAAACCCCACTTTCTAATGACGAATTATTGGTCCTCTCTTGCGGCTTAACCTTTTGCCCCACACTTAAACGTACTAATTTGGCAGAATTATCTGCTGACATTAATGACTTCACGCGACTCATGCGTTTAAAAAAGTATACTTTTATGATCACAATAACAGCACTCAACCTAACGAACACAACTTGTTTTATAAAAAGCTCATGGACGCCTTCTACTGATCGAGACCCTGCACTTAACACATACGTAGACGCCATTAAGCATGACATCCTTACAGCTAATCGTAATCACATCACCGACAACTTGACCAAAGATGAACAAGCATTACGCAACCTTAAGAAGCGACAAGAGATATTAAATAATCAAACCTGCTGACAAAGGCTCTGGAACGGTTGTTATGGAAAAATCCTGGTACATAGACGAATGCAACCCACAGTTAACCCTCGGACGTACAGGGGGCAGCCACTCCCCATAAGGTTTTCTGAGATTTTTCCTACAGGATAAAACGTCACTACCTGATGTTTTTAGTAGCTGTTCGTTCATCCCTCGTGCACATTTTGAGACAAGTTCAGTGATGGTCAGTTGCTATGGTTACGAGTTATGTCGTCATAAGTAGCAGGTGGTCAAGCCAATTTTGGGTGAAAATACATGTTTATTCAATTTCTTTCAACAATAAAAGTAAATCTTGTGGCCAAAATCGTACAAAGTGCTTTTTTATGTGTTATTTTTCATGTAAAATACAAAAATTACCATATCTCGCAATTTTAACCTGATTTCTGATTATTGGTAAAGTACAAGATGGCGACTATTATTGGTGATGTCACAGGCCTCCAGCAGCGCCACCACCCCTAAAATATACCTCATCTTGTTAAGAAGATCAAAGTCTTTCCGCCAAAGGTAAAATAGTTTCAAAATATTGCAACATATCAAACAAAACTCTGGAGGTTCCTCCAACCCCCTGCCCCCACCTTATACCATGGTGGGGCTATGGATTTGGGTGTACGTCCGAGGGTTAAATGGCGCTAAATTCTACAGACAACTAGACGGGGACATTATTGACCTTACTCAACAGCGTGTTATTGTTTACATTGAACGTATGTTTAACGACGGTTACATCGACGAAAAGATTAAAAAGTACCTATAGCACAGAACAACATTAAACCGGGACGTTTTTACATTCGACCTAAAATACATAAAACGGGAAATCCTGCATGGACGTCCCATAGTTTCATCTAACAGCCACCCTACTGAACGCATCCCACAATTTGTTGACTACCACATTAACCCTCTCGTCTCAACCTTGGGTTCACACGTTAAAGACACTACCGACTTCATCAATAAACTTTCTGACCTCGGTAACCTACCTAACGACGTTATTCATGTAACTCTTGATGTGTCTTCGCTTTATACCAACATTCCACATAATCAAGGAATTGATAC